ATCTAAGAATATGTGAACAGCATAAACTGAACTTGATGGGTTTCCTAATAAAGAGAACACAGATTTGAGTGGGTTTTCCTGATAAGAATATAAGAAGATTGGATTCATACTGTACACATTTTTGGAGACTTGACCCGCTTGCTGAATTTTGTTTCTTTTTATTGTTGACATATAACAATGGCACATGTTTATGAGACTATTCATTTCCAAGTATATGGAGAATGAAAAAATGATAATGGAGAAGGAGAAGCAATGGATATTTTACATATATTAGCTATAAGCAGTAGAAAAATCCTGGGAATTACAAGAATCCACATTCCTTGAACTCTAGGGGACAAGAACCTGTGGGGTACGGAGAGACAAATGTGGTTTACTCTAAAATAGAGCTCAAGCTTGAGAAGAGAGAGCCACTGAAGGGCAGAGCAAAGACTCCAGTAACACTCAAGCAAAGAAGAATTGAGCATAATCAGAGCTATTCTCAAGCTGGAGTGACTGAGACTGAGTGGACAAGCGGATCGTCAAAAGGCGGAGCTCTGCAGGCGTTAACTAGGGAGCCCACAAGAGGGCTGAGGAGAACTCCAAGGAAAAGGGTGGAAACTTCACAACATTTTCGTATAGATGGTGCAGTAATTTCAGAGAGTACTCCCATAGCTGAAACTATAAAGGCTTCAAGCAACGAATCCTTAGTTGTCAATAGGTTGACTGGAAATTTCAAGCATGCATCTTCTATTCTGCCAATCCCTGAATTCTCAGACATACCCAGAAGAACACCAAAGAAACCATTGACGAGAGCTGAAGTGGGAGAGAAAACAGAGGAAAGACGAGTGGAAAGGGATATTCTTAAGGAAATGTTCCCCTATGAAGCATCTACTCCAACAGGAATCAGTGCCAGCTGCCGCAGACCAATCAAGGGGGCTGCCGGCCGGCCGCTAGAGCTCAGTGACTTCCGGATGGAAGAGTCGTTCTCGTCGAAGTATGTCCCCAAGCATGCTGCCCCCTTGGCAGGTGTCAAGTCGGAGAAGACGCAGAAGGGACGCTCCATTCCCATGTGGATAAAAGTGTTGCTCTTTGTCGTTGTAGCAGTTTTTTTGTTTTTTTGTTTTTGGTCTATCAAGCTATGGAGACCAACCAAGGAAATCCCTTCTCTAGGTTTCTTCAAGATGCTAAAATATCCAACTGAAGAAGGCACTTCGGCACATTCACCTTGATCTCCTGTTTTTAATAACTAGAAAAACATTTGTGTCCACTGTTGACTGAAGAACTACATCGTGATTTCACCTCAGTAACGTTAGTGTGCATTGGGAAGCAAACAAGACGCATACATGGACCTCATTTCAATATTTTGGACTTTGGAGATCACACTGTGCCATATGAATAATTTTTTTAGCTCTGGAACTTTTTTGTAGGCTTTATTTTTTTAATGTGGACATCTTATTTCACTTTTGGGGGAAAATGCATTGTTTTGTGTATTTGGGGGAAAAAAGGTGATGTAATGTGAAGCTACACATTAAATACTTGGAATTCTTACAAAAAAAAAAAAAAAAAAAAAAAAAAAAAAAAAAAAAATGCTTTAACCCTAAAATGAAGACCTAAGATTTCTCCTTTTGGGAATAGGCCATTAATTACTAAAACCAGTCAGTTCAGATTCCAGAAACCAGGAACTGTAAAAGTACAGAGTCACAAGATAGTCACGAGGTAATGCCTGCCAGACTATGGAATGTCCTCTCCCTGGTTTCCAGGGCAACTGATCACAGAAATGCCCCCACCTGAGGCCTGTCAATGAGAAATGGTGGCAGGGAACCACTCCCTTAGAAGCAATTTCTGGAAGTCCCTAGAAGCAAGCCAATCAGAACTGTACCCATACTAGGACCCCTAAATGATGTAACCTTGTGATTTTTCCCTTTAAAAGCTGAGCTTGCAGATAGGTGGGCACTTCCTCCAGCCTTCAGTGCATTGGATGTATTGGATGAAGTCCCTGTCTAGGCTTGTATTGCTTTTGGATATCCAGAATTAAATCTTCCTTTACATTCCGGCAAAAAAAAAAAAAAAAAAAGCCAGAGGCAGTGGATATCTTCAGTGAATCCATACAACAGTACCACTGCACGCATGAACTCACAACAGCTTTGACTGCACAATGTAGGCATGCACAAGATGCATCAACTGTAATATCAGTGAATCACGGTGGGGTTCCCATAGTTCTGGTAATATCTGAAAATTGATTAGCAATTGGTGGTTTCTGGAGAAAGAGAGCCAGTTTTCTTCAGGGATGCAGCCCCTGAGTGTCTACCCATGATATTGTGATTGTCCTATATCTATGCTTACTAAAAAGACACAGCAAGTTTAAAGGAAGAACACACAAAATGGTAAAAGAATATTCGTCAAATGAATAAAGGCAAAAATGGAACTGAGAGGAGGGTAGATTCTATTAAATCACATTATACTTATACATGTATGAAATTCTTAAAAAATAAAGATTTTAAACATCACAGAAACATTAAATTTGTATTTATTATCACTTTAACTAAAAAGTAATATTCTGAAATAAATATCATATTCATGTGCATTGTTTTCATATATTAATTTTTCACAGAAAATATTTATAATAAAGTGTAAAATCTTGCTAAAGTTCAGAGTAAATCAAAAACAGAAATTTCAGAGATTATGTCATATTCAACTTTATCTATAAAAAACTGTATAAATAAATATATTAAGAAGTATTTGAGAAATTAAAGAAAAACTGTGACAAGAACATATATATATATAATCATATATTTCTTTTTGCTGCATAATATTCTAATTACAAAAATTACGTGGCTTGTCATAATTTTATATAATTTGCAATATAGTTCAAAAGTATACTGTATTATTTAATATATTGTTTATTTTCAATCATGGTTTATTTTTGAGACTGCTTGACCACTTCACAGGTTAAAATACCTGTTTTAATGTATATGTTAGGGTTTTTTTTATGTTGGAAATACATTTACTTAGATTTTACTGTCAAGCTCCAGTTCTGTCTTGGATGTGAACTTGTTGATAGATTCTGAGCTGATGGTTTAATTTATCCTGTCCTGTGGGCTTATTCCATCCCTTAGGGAAGAATTGCAGAATGGCCTGAAGAGGTACTATTTCTTTTAATGCCTAGGAAAAGTTGAAAAGTGGTATTTGCTTCACAAACCCTGGTTGTAAGTCTTAACTGTGCATTGAAATCGATTTGAGAACACTAAATCCCTGAGTATCAGGGATCATGTTCTAATTTTATGACGAATAGACAGATCACAGTTACTAGACAATTTTAATGATTAATATGTTACTGCTTTTCTGGTTTAGCATACAGCTTAGGCAAAAACATTGTCAAGAGTGTAGAAGACCCTCGGTTCAGTCCTTGGTATCTGATACAAGCATAATCAGTCAATCAATCAAAAAATCAATTAATGCTCCATTTTATTGCCTCTACTTTCTACTGATAATTGCTGTTTTTTGTTTTTGTTTTGTTTTTTTTTTTTTTTTTTTTTAATGATCTACAAAATTCTTAGCTACTGGAACTAAAGTACTTTTCAGGGCCCTGTGAGAAAGTCAGGTTGAATGAATGATTGACACACTGTTAAGTAAGTACTGAATCATGGTAGTTATTTGCTGGTGGTTTTGTCAGGAACACCTTGGGAATCAAAAAAGGGTAAAATAAAAGAAACAATAGAGTTTAAGTAAAGAGGATTATGAAGTGGACTTGGGAGAGTATAGCCAGCAGATGTCATAGAAAATGACAAGGATAGTGTGGTGGTCATTCTTCCAGGGACAGGAAACATAAAGTGTTGTGTGCTTCCTCAACAATTAAAAGTTATGGTCACTACACTCTTCTCATGTGCTCATAAAATGGTGAAATTAACCATATTCAGGAGGTGTTTGACGTGACCCATAGATGAAGTCCTGGGTTCTTTGTGTTTGTTTGTTTTTAGTGGTCAAAAATTGCAAACATACATAGAATGATTAAATTTGGATTTCAGCTTGGATATTTTTATTATCATTTATATCTTTATTTTCATGCAGAAACAGAGGTAAGAAAAGCTCCAATGGGTTGCTCAGTTTTCCAATGCAATTATAATTTTTTTCTTTTTTCTTTTTCTTTTTGGAAAAGGCTTTAGGAAACCCTGAGATTTCTGCAAATTAATTTTAGCTCTGTAAAATTATTATGTTGACATCCATGGTCTCTGGAATAAGTTCTAACTCTAAAGAGATTAGAAACATCTTATTAATTAGATTATTTTTCAAGAAATTATAATTATTCATTTTTGTATTCTACCTGGAACATGATCAGAATAGTCTTTGTAAAAATGCAGAACATTTGCTTATTTTTTAGTTTTCTGAAATGTCCTCCATTACAAACTGTTTTTTACCCTTTGTCAAAGGTGGTTTGTGAGACATTCTGATATTTCTTCAATCATCTATGGTTCATAACCTGAATCAAATTCATTCAGGTTAATGTGAGTTCTTCAAGGAAGTGTTCTCTGTGTATTTGTTTTTCTCATTTGGTTCTGAAGATCACATCCCCCTCTGAGTGAGGCTGCAATGGAAGATCTTATGAGTCCTTCTACATTTTCTTCTAAAATAGTACTAGCTTTTACAGATGAGAGAGCATCTCCTCCATTTTCATCTTTCTTCAAAAGATTTGCAGTTTTTAAAGTACTATGCACTCTGTCATGTGACATCATTTCTATAGGTCTTTATTAAACTCATATATTTTTTTCTTTAATAGTGTGAACTTTCTTCTATCATTTGGGCAAATTCTTTGAAAATTTTTGAGCTAAATAGCTAGTAGGGATTATTACACAAAAGAGAAGGGTCTTTAATCTTCTTAGAGGTTATTGCTAAGAGCTGATAAAAGTGAGTGTTTTGACTTTTTAGATATTTGGAAATACTCTTTCGCACATTTCCCATCACTATCTGGCAGACATGTTATTAATCCTATTTATATGCCTCTTTTCTTGTGAAGTCCTTAAAACTTTGGGGACTTATTTAGTCTTAAAGTCCCAAAGACCAAAGTAGATGAGATGTGTTGTTCTCACCTTGTGATCAGACAAATTGAGACATAGAAAAGCAAGCAATTTCTATGACCCCATATCTTTGTGGGTCATTTCAACATTTTCAGAACAAGAAAAGAAAACTATTAGTAATGACTTCTAAATGCATTAAATTGAGGCTGTGTACACTATCATGTTGCTCTGAAACTCATTGTTTGAACTGCTGGGATAATGTGAAAGTAGCAGGAAAAACAAAAACAAACAATAGAGAGACCTTGAGATCCAAGGTTAACTTGGTCATTTCCTTGAAAATGTTTTGCAAGTGTGAACTGTAAACTCTATCTGAGAGGGATATTAAGTTTACTAACCTCTCAAAGTCATTTTATAATGTTAAAGGTAGGATTGTTTTCCTTTGGATTTTCCAAAGACAACATTTTTCTTTTCTGGAATTGTGTTTTATATATGGACTAATTACAAATGTAGTTTGAAAACTAATACACAATATATAAGCACCTCATTTCTAAATGCTGTGAAACATTCAGATATTATTGCTATGTTATTGCCTTAATTATACCTTGTTTGTTTAAATGGAAAACATGGAAATAAAGTGAACATGTTTAAGTCAGTCTTACAGGGTGGTATTTGGCTGGCCTCCTGTTCTACTTACATAATGAGATGATCGCAGCAATAATACTCATCCTCCACTTTCTAAATTTCCATAATGAATTTATTTGGTCACATAATGAACACTTTCAAGTATTACTTTATATACAGGTTCTCTCTCTTTTTTTAAATATAGGAAATAAATTTCTTGGTAGAAAACACTTGATGAGGAATTCACTGATGTACTTTTATCTGATGAACATTATCTGGCCAAAGTATTTTAGCACTAATAGTTAAAATATTACCTTCTAGAATTTAGTAAAGGCACGTGAAATGAACAAGGACATGAGTCTCATGTTCTATTAATATTCTGATTGTAGATTGCATGAATATGTTCATTTATGAAATTTATCAGTGTGTATACTCATGGTTTATTCATGCTACTTATTAATTTAAAATCCATTTACAATTTTATTTTGCAAAGGGTAATAATAGTGTCTATAGGTGTGTATAGGAAGCTAAATAATTTATGATAAAATCAGGTAAGAATTTCCTAAGCATATACTCCTACCCTAACAAAAGTAAATTCAAATGGATGATAATAATGTGTCAATAGATGACTGGTACAAGAAGGTTTTCAATGCAATTAGTCTAACAAGCTTAACATTATAAATATCTTTTGCACTCCGGACTTCCAATTGAGCCCTCTTCTTTGCTTCCTAATCTACCATTACGTGGGCTGATCTAACATGATGATCTGAACACCTTGCACTGACAACTGAACACAATGACAAACTTGGCCATCTAAGTAAAAAGAGAGTATTTGGCTTGAAGCCAAAGGGTAATAGTGGAACC